ACGATGCCGACTACGATGCCGGCGAAACGTTTGGGAATGTACCACGTCCACGGTTCAACTTCAGAAATGATCATGCAGACAATGGACCCCGGACTATGTGAGTTCCAATAAGTCTTCCTACCAATATGACCATGTTGCGAAAACGAGGTCAAACAACTTCTATACAACGAAAAAAGACTGCGACCACACAAAAGGCTACACCATCTTGGTCTTCATACCTTCGATTATTATTTTTGATTGCAATTAATTTTTAGCATACAAGTTCACCTAAATAAGTCATAGGTTTTTAAAAACTGAAAATGCATGATTATGCAATAGATGTTTAGAGAAAAGTGGGATTGTGCTATGTTGCATTATGGACTTATAATCACTTATTCTCGCACTTTGCTATCATTGTTTAGTTTTTGTTACATCCCAGACATAGCCATGGCTAAACATCCTTTGGTGCATATATCACGTGACTAATTTTGACTCTTTATATTGCGTTATCTAATAAAAGATTCGCACCACATCGTCCAATCAGAAGTTGTCATGTAAAACTACACAAATGTATATCAAGTAGCTAACATCCTGTTTATATTGGTCATGCTCTTTTCCATCTCTTTCTCCCCTCATCTGTGACCCAAAGGGTTTAGAATGTTCTATTTCGCGCCATATTTAAATGATTATGGAAAGAGGAAGTGTCAGAGTAATGAGAGGGTCAAAATGCTTAACAGTTTTTTAATTTATTAAAAATATTTTTTTACCTGTAATAGTGGTAATTTGAAGCTCAATGCCAGAAATGGCACCTGTAAATTACGATGCTAATTACGATGCAAACGAGATTAATTTTGAATGTGCACAGTCAGCGGTCTGTAGCTGAAAGTTAATTTGATATGAATTTCAGTGAAAAGTAAATTTTTTAAGCTTCGCTTACACTATGAATATCTGGTAACATGGAAGTCAAGACAATCCACCTCTGATCAAAGTAAGGGCAGCACTAACTTTGTCGTGATAGTGGCAATGACAAAGTTAAATATTTTCGGTTGCCTTAGTATATGATGCTATAATTGTTACAAACTACCGAGTACAAGAAATTCATTTGCCTTATTCATTAAAATTAATAATTATGCACTTATGTGAGAATAGATTTTTTATATTTAAGAAAAGCTGTTTTGTTAAATCCCTTATTGAGTTAAGGTAACTAGACTTTCGATTTCGAAGGAAATTTGACTGGAAGGAGTTCAGGAAATGGCCTCACTGGAAACCAAAAGAGAGCCATCGGGAAGTGATGAATTTTTGAATGCGCTAAGAATTCCTCAGCTCACATTCCTACGATCCTGATAAGCTTGTGCTAAGCTTTTGTCTGTATTGTCACGTATATCCTCAGAGCACGAATCAACACCTTACAAAATAGCTTCTTAATATAATAAACCAATGAAAGAGGTGGCTGGCGGAAATTCTAGTCACATCTTATACCTAGTCTTGTGACCTTTATGAAGCCTCCCATGAATTAGTTAGCCACAAAAAACTTACTCTATATGTTTACAGATAAGTGAAATTAATTCATGAGCAGAAAATGGATGAGCTACCAGCTATTTCCTTACATATATAACCTAGAGCATAATCCTCTAATGCTGATTTATCGTTATTTAGAAACTATTGTCTTTTATGTGTATTTACTGTTCATTTTACGAGAAATTAAATAACCATAAAAAGACTATAGGCTACTCCAGCCTCCTTTTGGTCAGTGTTTCTTCCTGCTCAGTCTTTCTCCTCCATCTACCTGGGTCTATTCAACAGCTATAAATTGTTTTTAATCACTTTTCTATATTTTTCTTTTCTATTAATGATGTTGGCTATCTTGCTACGTTTTAGCAACTCCCTAATCTTACACTTTGATGTGAGATCTCAGTATCCTGCTTAATGTTGTGTTTGGGCTAGTCTATCGAGTGTCTTATACTAGCTATGTACTCGGCAAATGCACAACGGGTTTTGCTCTATAATAGTCTTTTTGAATGGATTGGTAGGTATCTTTCACATTACTGCCTGAGCAAAGAATCTTTAAAGGCTCTGATCAAGAGTAAGTTATATGGAGAAAAAAGGAACTTGGTTAGTTGCATTACTAAAATAACAATAGGGTTATAAAGCAGAAATTATTTGTTATTTATGGATGTAGTAATGAGAAAAGAAGATAATAATTCGAGTAGAGAATTGTATATGAGATCCACATATGCACTAGGCTTAGTAACTTCTTATCTAATAGGACATTGATCTTCAATCTCATCTTTATTCCATTCAGAGAATTTACATAAGATTAGATCTGTGACGTTTATGTTAATAAAAACTTTGCTTGTTTGTCACTATAGTTAGTTAATTTGACTATATCAGATCTTTCAGTTACTTGACACCGTTTTGCTCCTAGTTTATGAATGCTAAAATGAAATAAAACTGTTATTATGCTTAAACTGAGTTTGATCAAGCTGTTTTTTCTCAAAATATAACAATTATTTATTTTAGCTAAAAATAAATTATAATACTGCATAACAGGCTTTCAGTTTATATAATGTGTGCGATACCATATAAACATTTTCTCCCAAACGCACCACCAATTTTGTCACATAACTTTACCACGACAATAAATAAACTTAATAACTTTAAATAATTTGTTTTTAATTTTAGTTATTTATTTTAAACTGGTTATTATAAAGCATTTAATCAATTCACTGCGATCGGTTGGTTAGTTCGAACTATTTGTGAAATCTTATGCTGATAAAGCCATTTTCATATGACTTCTAAAATTATTTGATGCAAGCCTTGTTATCCTTCTGTCAACGTTGGTTTAAAAAATATATTTGATACTTTATTAGGCGCTTATTTGAACTCATCACACGTGGGACTTATGTATTCCATCGTCCTTCCCACATATAATGAGAAGGATAATTTACCTATAGTAGTCTGGCTCATTGACAAATATATGAAAGAAAGGTATATAAATGCATTTAAACTTCTTTCCAAAAAATTCTTTCAAAAATCACCTTAACTCTAATTCATATTTTGGATAGGCATTTTCAAATCTAACTAGTCGCCATCCAGAGCCTTTTGGACGAATATAGTAAAGAGCAAACAATTTATTTTAGTTACCTTATTTTCACAAAGCCTTAGCTTACTATTTTATTTTTACTTGAAATATGAACTTTTATCGCAGGGCCATTGACACCATCACGGATCGTTTTTTTTGTTTTGTATATACTCCTACGCAAACATGTAGAATTGTAGTATTCCAGGATAATTGATGCCTTTTTGTCATACCAAAGTGCGGTTTCTTTTTATTTTATTTTTTAATATTCCATCATACTAACAAATGCCGCAAGCGATTGCCTCCATATACCAATTCTATACATTTTTGTCAAATATTTTTTATGCCGGCTTAGACACCATGCTTGATGACATTTTGTTTAGCAATTGTTTTCACTTTAGCTTGAACAATTTGTGGTCGTATTTATTATTGCTCCTTTATATTATTAGAACCAAAGCTCCTTTGCACACATATCGTTTAGGTGATGGAGTATATCTAGCTGTGAAATATGCTTCAGTTAGATTATTCTATTTTGATAACATGATGAAACCTGAAGCTAAATAGATAAAAATGACTTTATGAACAATTTTGGTGGTTTGCAGGCGTCGGAAGCACTTTTTTAAACTTTTTTCAATTTAATTTTTGCATTATTGTACAGTGGTTATGCTTATGAAATTATTATTGTCGACGATAATAGTCCAGATGGCACGCAAGAAGCTGCTAAAATGTTGCAAAAAATTTTTGGAAACGATAAAATAGTGAGATTCTTGATTTTAAATATTTCAGATAATCAAACCCAGGGCTTCCAAATTAGGTTTGGGCACAGCTTACCTTTACGGGCTAAAATTTTCTAGAGGTGAATTCGTCATCATTATGGACGCTGATTTGTCGCATAATGTAATTGCAATGTTATAACCTTATATTTTTTTAATTTTAGCCTAAATTTATTCCTGAATTCATCAAGTAAACATTACTACTTTTGTTTAATAGACGACTTATCTAGATTACAGAAAGAAAAAAATTGTGATATTGTAAC